CTACTGCGGGACCACTAGTATATATTATTATTATGAGAGTAATATGCTATAACTACCTACCTGGCGAGTTTTTTGTTTACGTGACGTCATATTAAAACTGGTTTGATTGTAAATTTTTAAGACTAAAAAGTAAGTTAAAAAAGTTATATTAATCCGTTTCTGCTTTATGTGGGGAACTATGTAATCGTGTGGTATCATAAGGGCAATTAACTCAATCTTACATAAATAAAGTTGTTAAAGGAGACGGAAAATCGTGGGCCAAAAATGTAATAACTTGGAATGTAGTCTAAAAAATTTGTCATATTTTTTTATATAAGAATATAAAAAATCACCTCAATCCTCTTTCTGGGACGGAGAAAAATGAGAAAGTTAGTTTTTGTCGGTATAACGGTGTGATCGATTTAATTAATCGATTACAGGATTATAAAAAGAAAAACATTGCACTAGGTAATTAATGCAAAGTAATTAAATGAGCCATTTATACTTGTTGTATATAAGTGCGGTATACGCCGGATTTAATTGCGATTATACACATAAATGAAGAAAAAGTCTATTATTACTTAACAAAGTAACATGATTATCGATTTCAAATCGATTAAAATCGATTGTATTTTTGGTGGCAGCTTTGACAGTAAGCTGACATGACGTTTGTTCATAGATTATACAATTATTTTTTGGCGCTTGTTGGTTTTTTCGGCTCTACTCGTTTTGTATCTTCGACGCATTTTGAGTGTGTATCTATCGGGCTGTTTTTATATTTTCAACGATCACTGCTCTATTATTATGGATTCTAACTCTGCCAGCCTTGTACGATAATTGCTTCTACACTGGACACCGAAGATCGCTCACACGTTTGACTTGAAATTGTTGCATTGGATACTGTTGAAATTATGGATCGCTGTGTGAATTGTGGGATAGCAATTCCATATTCCATACCTGATATATATCATTGATATTCATTCATAATATGACATTTAAAAGATTATCCAATGGATATAATAAACATTTACTTANTTCCATACCTGATATATATCATTGATATTCATTCATAATATGACATTTAAAAGATTATCCAATGGATATAATAAACATTTACTTATGCTTAAATAAGTTATTATTCAGCTCTTTTAAAGAGATTGTAACATAACCTAACTTTTACTAAATCTTTATTAACTCGGCTCTCAGATTGAGAAAACTTTTATAATTTTCAGCAAGGTACTGATTAATCTGAATCTATTAATTCATACTAGTTTCATCACGTTAAATTCGGGCCCAAAAATGTATGTAATCGTTTCAATCTCCTTTAAAATATAGTTTTTGTTTAAAATTTTTTTATTCGATTCGCTAATCGCTAATAACTGCAACCCGACTTACAGCGAATGAATGCATTTTTATTTCTTAATTATCAGTATTAAAATGTTAGTTGTAAGCGCGAAAACAATATATGAAATATCTACACGTTGTTTATATATTATTAAATGAAATGTGGCCATAAAGGACTAACTAGACTAATTGACGATCGTAAGAGCGTAAGAAGAACCATCGCACCGCCCGCCACCGGAGTAGAGTTCATCCATACTACCTGGAGCCACTGCGGTCATCCACAGTGCGTTTCCAGAGATATTTTTTGCCACGTACCATGCGGCTTTGGAATGAGCTCCCCTCCACGGTGTTGCCCGAGCGCTAAGACATGTCCTTCTTCAAACGAGGCTTGTGGAGAGTATTAAGGGGTAGACAGCGGCTTGTCTCTGCCCCTGGCATTGCTGAAGTCCATGGGCGATGATAACCACTTACCGTCAGGTGGGCCGTATGCTCGTCTGCCTACAAGGGCAATAAAAAAGATGGGAGGGTAGTTGATAAATGTCTCATGGCTCTGTTATACCACGCTTGAGATGGCTTAGTACTAAAAAAAGTTCACTTCCATTCGTCCATATGAGCTCACGGCCGACCTTGTGTTAACTGATTACCGGAGTCCATAGATATTGACCACATTAATGCCGACGCCCATAGATTCTGCAAGATAGCCGTCAGAGCACCATGGTTCCTGAGGAACGTGGATCTCCGCTCCGATGATCTGGAGCTCGACTCTGTCAGTATCTACAGTTGGCATCGCTGCGCCACTTCAAGAAGGCGGCACGACATGAGAACCCTCTTGTCGTGGCCGCTGGAAACTACATACCCGATCCTGTAGACTGAATGGTAAACCGTCGACGTCGCCCAAAGCACGTCAATACGGATCCTCCTGATCCATTAACGGTGCTTTTAGGCGCTACAAGCACCGGTCACCGTCCTCGTCGAACCCGTTGCTTGCGACAAAGGGCTCGACGAGCGAATTAACCCATAGACACAGCCCACTGAGTTTCTCGCCGGATCTTCTCAGTGGGTCGTGTTTCCGATCCAGTGGTAGATTCTGCGAAGCACTGCTCTTGCTAGGGTCAGTGCAGCACTCCGGTTTGGGCCCCGTGAGCTCACCTACACACGTTAGGGTGAAGCTGAAATAGCCTCTCAAGGCTGTCAGCATAAGTAGGAAAAAAAAAGTCGCCCATCTAGAGATATCAGTTCTAAGTTTCAGTTTTCAAAATACATAGGATGCCTCAACCTTCAAAACCGAAACGCATTACTGCTTTAGAGAAAAAATAGGCAGGACGCTACTCGAGATCACCAGTAGGTAATTATGCAAACTATAATTTATGCAGGTTTGAGTTTTGTTAGAGGATGTTATTCCTTCACCGCGGAAGTCGGTCGTGAACATTTGTTTAGTACGTATTTCATTAGAAAAATTAATACCTGTCTACGCGGTTCGAAAGACGGCTTAGTCGCATCGCTCGATACGAACGTTCCGGGCGTCTTATTTTTTTAGGCCACAATTTCGCAAGTCAGTCCATAGGTAGGTAGTTCAATTCATAATTAATTATTTTAAATACAGTTTTGGTAATTCTTAAGTGAACTTTCTTTTTAAATAAATTCATTGAAAAAATTCTTCAATATTTATTTAAAAACCAATGATTACGTATCACGGTTATCTAGTCTTTTGTTTGGGTCCTAATGACGTCGTCTGTGGCGTGTTTGCGATCGGTTGAGCCATGTAATGTTTGGGCGGTGATTTCAGAGCCGCACGATTCGACTGTGATGCGTTGATGCATCGCTTGGTCTGATGCTTAAAACGACGCGGATCTTTGAATACAGTTTGAATGCGTATGTGTGGCTCGATTCTCGCATCGTAGATTAAGAACTCCCTTCCATTTATGGCACCTTGGTCGTTTTGTTAGTAAGCCTTGAATATTAAGTACAGTAACAAGTTGATACACATTTAAAAACTATTCTCTCTATTCACTCTATCTCTAAATACTAGCTAGTATTCCAATTCAACATCATTTGTAACTAAAATTCTGGTCTACTCTTTCAAACCTGTCTAAGCATTTCATAGAAAAACCTTTATTATTTCAGACTCTTTAGTTTTTAAAAAGGATTTTTCTTCAGTTTGATTCAGTACACTTCAGTGTCATGGACTGAAATCTGTCATTCATTAAAAAAAGAGTTCAGTTTTGTATCGTTTATTAATAGTGTTTACATACTTTTTAATTTTTAATAATAATTTTAAATGAGATTAAGGGCTTTAAATATTGTTTTCTGACTATATCCTTAACAGAAAACGTAATTAAGTCTTTTATTGCTTACTAATTCTGAATTATTCCTTAACATTATAAAAACAAAATTTTTGGCAACTTTTACATCAAATGGAAAAACTAAGGTTTGATTTTGACGGTCAGCGAAGGATGGGACATCAAACAATTAAAATTCAAAAGAAAATTTTTAAGGTAAAAAAACGATACAATATATGTAGTTATTTTCCTAAATTTATCGAAATTCCTGATGTGTTAGGTGAAAGTTAAGAAGGAGGAAATCTGAAGGGTAAAAAAATCTAAAGTTATATTTCTACAACTGTCAAAATTCCTGGTGGACTAGGTGACAGAAATAAAGGAAGTTTTCAGAACCTGAAGTATTAAAAAAAGAAATTGATTCTACACACAACTGTGATATTAATTTTAATGAACTCTCGAAAGAATTCAAAGAATTTCTGTCATTTTCACCATTTTCAAATGCGCTTAATGAGAGTTCAAATCAAATTATTATAGTTAATATGTAGGGTCCCATGTAAAATTAATGAAAATAATAAGAATCAGGACATCAGACAGAAGAGAGTGGAGTAGTTCAAACTACATGGGGGGGGGGTCAGGTACTTAGATATTTATAATGAGAATGCATAAGATTTATTATATTGCGAAACATACAATCGTTGGTGACATTCACTGCTTTGGAAATTTCATAATCGAAGGAGTCAAGCAATTAGCTTTGAAAGAAACGGCAATATCTCATTCCTAAAACATTTCGTCTAGTTTTTCATCTCAGATCTTTGTGTACATACCATCGTTGGTGAGGTTAACAAGAATATGTGACGAGTTTCTTTATCTTTGGACGAGTCCTTTTGGACAATCTCAAACCCCACCTGGAGTTAAGTGGTTGCCGAAGCCCATAGACATCTACAACGTAAATGCCGCCACCCATCTTGAGATATGAGTTCTAAGGTCTCAGTATAGTAACCACTACTACGTCCTACTTCAAACATACATGGCTGTCGTTCATAAGCAACGGTAATCACTCATGATCAGATGTGGTATTTCCTCGTCTTCCGAAGAAGGCCAAAAATATATGAAACTTTATACAATTAAGAGAAATCACTTTTAAAACTGGGAAGGAGTTTGTAATTACTATCGATAATTGTTAAAGTCTTAAGATGAAAAAAAGAGTTAAACTGAATGAACAGTCATTTTTATTTTAGATTTAAATATTGAAGAATTTGTAATCGAGATAACAGATAACGTAGAAATAATTCGTATGATTCTTTATAGGTAACAAAATTTAAAAGTGTTGATTGCGAAAGAAGTGGCGATAATTGTCGTGTTTAATTTTGACTTTACCTACCGGCATAAAACTATATTTTAATTTAACGAGTTTTCAATTTCTTCATCAGTCTTGTATAAATACTCTGGAGCTACACTCAGTTGACCACCAGCGATTTTCCAAGCGGTCCCGGATTCGGCATTCTTGAATATGTGCACAGCTGCTTTGCCGACAGCATCGGGTTTCTGCGAAACGTCATCCTTGGTTACCTTTTTAAAATCTTCCAACTGATCATCCCAAACCATTTGCTTTGTAGTCATCGCAGTGTAGGTCAATTCTGGACATAGAGCCACAATCCTGATTCCTGTCCTTTTGAAGTTGTATGGGTGTCCTAATGACTTGGAGAAAGCGAGACTCGCATGCTTTGATGAGATGTAGGAAACCATAAACGGGGTTATACTGTAACCTGAATCGGACGCGATGTTAACAATAGTTCCACCAGGACCACCTTTATCGTTTCTCGCGTATTCTCTGAATTTTAATGACCATTCAATCGGTGCAACGCTATTGGTCAATATCATTTCTCTTGGTTGGTCTTCTTCAAGTATTCCAGCATTGTTGACTAACACATGTATCGGCCCATGCTCGTCAACTATATCATCCCACAGATGAAGATCTTTGGTAACATCGCATGGTATAAAAATAACCTTATCTCTTCCATATTTACATTTCAGAGTTTCAGCTGCTCTTATTCCGTTAGTCACATNTGCAACGCTGTTGGTCAATATCATTTCTCTTGGTTGGTCTTCTTCAAGTATTCCAGCATTGTTGACTAACACATGTATCGGCCCATGCTCGTCAACTATATCATCCCACAGATGAAGATCTTTGGTAACATCGCATGGTATAAAAATAACCTTATCTCTTCCATATTTACATTTCAGAGTTTCAGCTGCTCTTATTCCGTTAGTCACATTTTTATCTAAGATTATAATTTGATTGACTCCATTAGCTAGGAAATTATCAGCTATAGCGTATCCTATACCTCTAGCTGCCCCGGTCACGATGACATTTTTACCTTTTAGATCCTTGTCACTGATTGAATTGGCCCTAGCCGAAAGTGTTACTAGGCAAACTAGAAACTTTAACTCTATAGCCATAACTGTTGTGGTATACAATATTTATTCGATTGGCTTTTCATTTATGAAGCATAAATATATATTGTGTGTAGAGAGACAGGTGTTTTGCAATAAATAAAAGTTAGGATGGGGTCTGAGACACTGTGTACTGAAGCGGGGCGTGTAGAGTTTTGGCACATATCCTAAATAATTTTGCTCTATCAATAATTATAGATTTACCATAAAAGTAAGTAAGACTTAACCATAGCAGTAGCCATAAAAGTAAATAGGTTAACCTTTTTTTGAGGCCGCTTTAGCCGATATTTACATATTTTACCAAAAAGCGCTTATGCTCTATCTGGTAAGCTATGCTTTTGAAATTATGACAACTCATATTATATGCTATATATATTATGAGAGTAATACGATGTTGCTACTTGGGCAATTTTCTGATTACGTGACTTATTAAAACTGGTTTTGTTGTAGATTTTTAAGACTATGAAAGTAATTTAAAAAAGTTATGATAATCAGTTTCTGCTTTATGTGGGGGATTATGTTATCGTGTGATCTCTTATGGGCAATTAACTCAATCGTACATAAATAAAGCCGTTAAATGTTAAATAGTTTTTGTATAAAATTACTTTATTCGCTTCGCTAATCGCCGACAGTTGCAACCCGACTTACAGCGAATAAATGCATTTCTATTTCTTAATTATGAGTATTAATATGCTAGTTGTAAGCGATATAAAAAAAAACAATCGAAAACAGACAGCAATATAAAAACAATATAAAAATAGAATACTATATATGTTACCGGAAATGTATGAAATCAAGGAATTGTATACAAATCCTAGGAAATGTGTACAATTCCGATACTGTTTAGGAAATGTATAAAATATTGTTTGAAAAACTATTTAATGCATAGATATCCTAGGAAATGTATAAATTTCCTCGGAATTGTATATAATTCCAATATCGTATTAGGAAATGTATAAAGTAAATGCTTTCTGTAATAAAACACGTTGTTAATAATATTTTTTTAATATAACACTTATTGAGACAATCGGGTAACAGTCATACCGTAAAATAATAATAATATATTCATATTATCTTACTAATTAAAACTTCTAAAATGAACTATCTATTAACTNCTAGGAAATGTATAAATTTCCTCGGAATTGTATATAATTCCAATATCGTATTAGGAAATGTATAAAGTAAATGCTTTCTGTAATAAAACACGTTGTTAATAATATTTTTTTAATATAACACTTATTGAGACAATCGGGTAACAGTCATACCGTAAAATAATAATAATATATTCATATTATCTTACTAATTAAAACTTCTAAAATGAACTATCTATTAACTTTTAACGTATCACAAAATCAACTTATATTTATTCTTATAAAATCAAATTTTCATTTGGCAAGTAATCAGTCTGATAATTAAATAATTATAAATGTCAAAGTATAAAAGTAAATCTTTATATGATAATACTTTGTAAGTCCATATAGCTATTTATTTTTGCAGGGTAAGCTCGAATGGCATTTGGAAGTACATAATACTTTATTTTTAAAACACAGACATCTTGAAGTAGCACAGTTTTTCTTGCAAAGGCACTTCTTAAATCCCTGGCCGGTTCCAGTGGATTGCAAGTTGGCAACTGACCGTAGTGCAAGACTCGTCCCGCTGTCCCCGCGTACCCACGAATATCTTAAATGTTTTACATTTCCGATTGCTATTTAGGAAATGTATAGATTTCCTAGGAAATGTGTAATGTGTAAGTATAATATAATTTATTTCACACATTTCCGTGCGATTTTAGGAATTACATACATTTCCTAGGAATTGTATACAATGACGGATTACATACATTTCCGTTAACATATATAAAAATACATATACGTTGTTTATACATATTATTATATTCTATTCTATTCTATTCTTTCGAAACTGTCTAACAATTTCTTGTGTATATTACAATTCTTAAACTATATTTCTATACAATGAGTTGATATTGTTTACAACCGAAAAAACTTTTTCAGAACTTCAGAATATTGTTCACAAATCTAGGTATGCAACCATAATGCCTTCAAATCAAAGTTTGCCTATATATATACAGACATATATCGAAAATTTCAGTACTAATTTTTACCTGTAAATATTTTGTAATCATCGCCATATTTATTATCTAGGTATTGAATATTTAACTTATGTCCTTTTTCTCTGTTTACTGCGACTTAAAAAGGTTTTAAGGGCGACTCGTACATTGTCCAAATCGCATGATATTAATAATATGTCATTATAACAACATAATAAGCGAGGGTTTAAACTTGATGGCTTTGTGATGAGGGTATGGCATGGCTTTAATGGGACCACATAAATATGATATGGATTCTTTTTTGTGTTTATTATAACGAATGTGCCTACTACATTACTTTACTTTAATCCGAGAATTTTGGTGGAAAAATAAATGTTCCCGAATTAAAAATCTTTTGGAGTATTAATTACAGTTCGAAATTTCTTTGTGCAGTCGGAGTATATAGAAAAGTACATTAATAATTATTTTCTATTTAGTTTAGCTTGAATGAAAATTTCCAGGATGCTTTAGCAGCAAAAATATGGTCGCCGCGATAAGTATTAATTTACTAACTCGTGATATAATGTAAATAGGAATAGTTACCGTCTCAATCGTCTTGGGTAGATGGGATGTTGTGGCGTGCAACCTCAATCGTTTTGGTTCACAGCCGGTTGTACGGTGCATTGTGAACCCCCACGGTTAGATGGGATGTCGTGGCGTGCAAACTCTTTGACAGGACATAAGACCTACAATGATTAGACATAGACACAGACTTAGACAGAGACTTGACAAGAATTCAAAAAGAAATGGAACGAGGGCGTACGTGACTAGCCGCACGCAGTACAGTTTTTGACGTCCTTAAACAAAGACACTTCTTGTTCTTTGTCGTTTTCTCATTACTGAGGGTTGTGACCACCTTGGTCAAGTTTTTGCACCAGCTTCCTCTAATGTTGCCTGCATTCGGCCTGCTTAATGGCGCCCGGGATGCTGGTGTTTGTGGCCTCCTTGACAATGTCCGTCCACCTAGTTGGCAATCTTTCTCGACTTCTCTTTCCTTCCACGTGACCTACAACTATTAATTTTTCCAAGTTCTCAGGATTTTGTCCGGCCACGTGTCCGAAGTACTTGAGGAAACGCTGCATACAGTTCGTAGATAGACGGGTCTTGACGTTTAGTTCCGAGAGAATTGACACATTTGTATGGCGCTCCGTCCATGATACGCCCAACATTTTGCGCCAACACCATATTTCAAATGCGTCAATTCTCGATCGGGTACGGGCCTTGAGGGTCCACGTCTCAGAAGCGTACAAGAATATGTAGAAGATAAAGGTTCTCATGAGCTTTATCTTAGTTTTTTTGTTTATGCTGCGATTTCTCCGAACCTTCTCCAATCGCTTCACAGCTGATTTTGACATCTGGGCCCTCCTGACCACCTCCCTGTCACAATCACAAAGAATGGCACAAAAAGACGAAAAAGAACGAATTGACCGTTTTCATATAAGACGACAATAGAACAAACGACCGTTCAACTGATCCTTCGACCGTTCAAGTGGTCCAGATACTACCGTCCTGTCTATTTCTGCCGTGAAGCAGTAATGCGCTTCGGTTCGAAAAGAGCCGGTTATAAAGTAAAAACTGAGGCCTTATAAGCAGTCACTGCTCTCGTCGAAGCTTGCGACGAAACGTACGGTGAGTAAACCCACAGACACAGCCCTTTAAGTTTCTCATGGCATCTTCTCAGTGGGTCGCGTTTCCGATCCGATGGTATTGTGTGAATCACTGCTTTAGCTGGCGCTAGTGTTAGCAACGTCCTCAGGTAGGAGCCCCGTGAGCTCACCCACTCGCCCGGTTATGCTGGCATAACCCCATAGGTTCCCAGCTTAGGTAGGAAAAAAAGGCCTTATAACTTATGTTTCAAGGTTTAGGCAGCATTAACGATGTAAATGTCTATGAGTTCCAGGCGGAACGCTAGCTCGATCGGTTATCTCAGCAATAAATAAATAAAAACACAACCCTGAAAACCTATACAGGCCCTGATTAAAACAAAGTTACTATATTGTGGAACCACAAAAACTCTCCCTACTGTAGTCGGCGAGAGCTATATTATTATTTTGCTGATTAATTTTAATACTATTTATTTCAGTATTTTCATCGATACGTTTCGGCTCCGATGTATCGATACCGCAAAATTAATTTAAGTTTCTACGAATTCCGATTCACTATGCGTTATATTGAATTACAAAATACATAGTAATTATTCGTTGAAAATTTGTATAAATTATTTTATTTCAGATGTAGTAATTTTATGTAATGTAGTTAATATACGTGTGAAGTATTTTGGTTCGAAATCAAAGCTTTATTTATGGTGTATTTTCTTTTTTTATTTCAAAGGGCTGTCAGAGGCAGTTCATTTGTCCTCTGGCGAAATTTTCAACAAATTTCCAAGTGGTTTTGGTGTACAAAAACCCTGCGTTCAAATCCCGCATTCAGATACCGTTTGTATAATGAAATACGTACTGAGTATATTTTCAAGCATGACTTCGGTTTGAGAGAATAATGTTATGTGTATAATAAAAATGAAACCGGCAAAAAGATGCGTAAGGCTTTGGAATGAGCTTCTCTCCGCACTGTTTGTTGAGGGCTATGCTAGTCTTTCTTCACACGGAGAGTAGTCAGCGGTGGCCGACGACTTGAATGTGCTTCTAGCATTGATATCGTCCATGAGTGAGAGTAGCCACTCACCATCAACCAGGTGGGCAGTACATCCGCCTGTCTATTATTATTAAGAAAATTCGACTTATATTAAACCACTAAACACCAAGTGGGTTATGATCTGGTTCCGAATAGAGCTTAAGCATATGATAAAGAAAAAAGCTTACTAAATTACTTAATTATAGTAAAGTCATTACGTTTGAACCCATTTGTTTGTCTTAAAACATATTTATTGAAAGAACAAAAA